ATGTTATTTATTTTTACTAGTTGTATTAATATTTTGAAACATTTGAATATTTGTAAAATACTTCGATAAAGATGATGGAATCAATATTATAGACAATCAATATTATAATGTTCCAATATATAAAAATGTATGATTTATGTGTTATGAAAAGTATTATTATTCAATAAAATTATATTATTCAATAAAAATTAATTTCTTTGAGTACAAGATCAAGAAATTAATTATCTCCATGAAGTTTTTAAACGCTCAATATAATTTCAGTTATTAAATTGCAATAAGATAATACAACAATATAATAGAATTTTGAATTTGAATGAACAATTTTGAAAAATAAAAAAAAAAGATTGAATGTCTCTGTGAATAGTAATGTTTATTATTCATATATTTATCAATTCAAATTTATAATTGCATATGAATATTTACCAATTCAAATTTATAATTGCATATGAATATTTACCAATTCAAATTTATTAACAATTTGTCATTACATAGTGTTTTTGTAACAAAATGCAATTAGTAAGGCGATAATATCTCTAGCAATAATCTATGCAATTATATCTGTTTACAAATTTTTAATATAGCTTTTTTATTGGTATTTTTAATTTGCTTAAATAGACAAAAATAACATACATTATTGTCTTATATTGTATATAATTCTTTCCTTCATATAAAATAAAATTAATAAATGAAATATATATCATGCATATTGTACATATACACGCATAATATCGCACGCGATCACAAATATATTAAGAAATTATCAAATGTATTTAAAAACGTATTTAAAAAATTTATACATAGAGTAATTTGTAAAGACATTTGATAAGAAAATAATGAAGATTATAAACTTGATATAAATCTATTGTATCTTTGTAATACAAGTTTGAAACATTGAGACTTGTGCAAGATTTATATTGTTACAGTTATTAAAATTTTTGTTTTATAATAAATAAATAAATAAAGAAGCATTAAAAATATAATTTTATTTATAATTCTTGTTTTAGATGATAAACTAATATTGTTAGAACCAATAAAGGAGATATACAATACATGTTTATACATGATATACAATACATTCCGATGTTTAATGTATGACGTACTATGTATTGCGAAGAGCATTATTATACAGTTTAACAAAAAAAAAATTTTATTGAGCATAAGAACGAGAGTAATCATGTTTTTTGATCGTTAAATACAATCCCATTCACTAAATTGCTCTATTACATAATAATGAAATCGTATTTAGTAATATAAAAATGAAAAATGATCGCTCTTGTTCTTGCATATAAAAAAATTAATTTGTTATTGAATTGTGAACAATATCCCTCGTGATCCCTACATGAATTATATAGTCTTCAAATATGAAAGAGAACGTGTTCAGGCGGAATGTTGTGTATTTATCATATCACTTCCATCATCTTTATTAGTGTTACAAGTAAGTTATATATATTTTGAAACATTTTCTCAAAATATTACTATAATCAGGAAAACTAAAATTTTAAACTAAGTTTTACTAAAGTGAATGCTGAATAATGAATTCTTTTTTGATCGAAAAAAGATTTATGTAGGTTTAATATTATTTTGCAATTTACAGTTAGAAATGTTAGAAATGTTTTCTTTGTTAGCAGCTTTTGAAAACATTTATTATTCCAAATAGCAAGCTGACGTTATTTGTCGTTATTTTTGGTGACAATAAACGTAACATTATTTTGACGACAAATAATGTTAGATTAGTACTTGGACATGCGAAATTATTAAAAATGTTTGTTAAAACATTGGCATTCTAATAATTATGTATATTAATGGATTCTAATTTTTCTAATCTCTAATTTTTCTAATAAAGATGACATCTTTCGTAAAATTTTTAATAGATTTTATAAGATGCATTTATTAACATCCGGAATATAAAAATTGATTATCAGTCAATTAATAATTGTGATATTATGATTTCATCATTAATTATCTTAAAACTATGTTCTAACATCGATAAATAATGAATATTAATGAATTAAACTGCAAATGCTGATTAGGCATGGAATCTGTTAACTCAGAGAATATATTATTAAAAGAAATACGTATTACATATTTCTATTAATATCGGTGGCTTTTTACCATCTTTCTCTTACTTATTGTTTTTAATTTTCATTCTCAATTTACTTGTCGATGATTACCTGGGCAAAAATATGCGATGTATATAAATTATTTTAACGATATCGTATTATGGAATTTTTTAAATGATTTTCTAATGATTTTACTGCGCAATCGCTAGAAGCAATTTATGAAGATTGAAACAACAGTTCATATGTAGATATCTTTTTCTGCTACTATTATTATTAGCAAAGCCTTCATTTCAATAAAATTATGACAAAAATTTTTTAAATCTATTCTAATAACATATTATAGCGACAGGGTATATCTAATATTAGAAAAATATTGTTTCTTATCTTGATTTTTAATTTTTATTTTGATTTTGTTAACACATTAATTTTATTAACTATACGGTATGTGAAAAATTTTGACAGTTTACAAATAAATTTAAGATTAAAAAAATTTATTATACAAAATTTGAGTTTGTTTTATAAAGTTTACAATTTTAAAAAGAAAAATTTTATTGTAAAAGTGACAACATTTACACTAAATGTGAAAATTAAAAGAAAAGACAAAACCCAGGAAAAAACCAACATGACAATGCATTAATTTTACATTCAAAGAATTCGAAGAATAACAAAAGCATCATTTTATACAACATTTAAAATTCGTGGAACCGCAAATTATTAATTTAATGCTAAAACTGTTTTGCGATAGACAGCATTTCAAAATTTCAATTTTTATATTTGTTACTAATTTAATGACTTTAGAATAAACATTTTTATTTTAAATAAATACAAGATTAAGAAAATTTTATTGTTTCTTTATATAAAGTACATAATTTTACTCTTTTAATATTTCTACATTTAAATAATTGTGTAAGTTTCTTTATTTGGCTACACATATATTTAGATATATTAATATAATTTATTTATATTATTATATACACTTTCATTAATTTTCATAAATTGTTGGTATTTTTTAAAATTGAATGAATAAATCTATTTGACTTTAGAGATATTTTTTCTTTTCTTTTTTTCAAAAACACTTACTAATTGTTATTAATTATTATACTACAATTAGTTGCTACTAACATCAATATTTAGAGATGATGTGTTGACACGAGAAGTGCCTATTTAATGAACGTAAAGTATTTATAGTGTTCAATATATACTTGTTTATTAAATATTAATTTAACCGAGAACCGGATTTTATTTATTGCCACTCGCATTTTACAGTTACGCAATCTTTGTTAAATGTTCCAAGATATTACTCTCTCACTTTTAGATTAGATACAGTATCATTTAACATATTATTTATAGGATTATCAGCGATTTGATTACATTAAAAATATTGAATCACAATGTAAAAAGAATTCAAAAAAAGAATTATCCACACAGATCTTACACAGATTTATTGTATAACTATCTTTCTTTTTTTTTAAATTATGCTTATATTCAACACGCTATTTTTCTTTTTCGGCATGTCAAGCAGAGTACAAAAAAAAATATACGAATATAGTAAGAATGTTTTTTTTATATTTTCTTGTCCTTCCGAATGAGGGAAGAAAGTCATTACATCTTACGGCAGAACACAGGTGTTACACGACTAGATATTATGCGCTATCGTAATCATTGCGCAATCACTAACCGAGTTATTGACGCTTTTTGTCGACTCGTTTTTATTAGCATAAATTGTCGGAAAAATAAGATTTCTCTATATGCAAAAAAATTAATGGATGAAGGATGCATATTACATTCTTGTTGCTTCATATTACAAGCTGTTTCTCATCGTGAACATTACATATGTTTTAACAAGTTCGATAGTGTTCGAAAATGTTAATAAATTAATTTTTAATTTATAGAATTATTAATTAATTATTTTTTTAATAGAAAGAAAAGAAAAATTAATTTGTATGAACAATAAAATATATAACTAGAATTTTTTTTATAAGACACTCGCCAATTTAGTTAAATGATGATTATTAACTTATTAAATAATGTAAATGATGATTAGTAACTTATTAAGTAATCTATATTATTATTATTATTATTAATATTGATTGAATTATTTTTTGTTGTTTGACAAAAAAGATATGGAAAAAAAAATATTAAATCAGAATCAACAAATTTTATTGAACAGAAATAGTTAGAAATTTTGTTTTAAACAACAAATGAGTTAGTCGCCGATTAATTTAATCAGAGTTTAATCGAAACTGTTTTAGAAAACTTAAATTGATTGATGTTTGAAGTAAACGAATTATTTAAAATTGCATTTTTTTATATGACTATTATCTGTATTTGATTATTCATAAATAATAACTGCAAAAAGCTGTAATTTTGCGATAATAAATATTAGAGTCATAAGTGTACCTACTTATTTATAAAATATTAATACAATAAAAAATTATGAACTTAATAATGAATTATATAAAATTTATATCAACAGTCAATAATATCGATACTTTTCAATTTCGCCGGGTCTCCGGAATTTCTTTGTAATTATAAAATTTACTCAGAATTGATGGTTTTTACATTCAAAATGATAGGTATCGAGGAATACGATATCAACATTATCAAGTCATTGTTTATCCAGAAAAATCGCCAATCCGCTAAACGTTATTTGTAACTGGAAATTATTTTTGTTAATTATTTAAACATTAAAGAAATTAAAAATAATAACAAGTAAAATATTTTATTAAATATTCATCAAATTAACGGATATTAGAATACTAGATGTACGTTTAACATTGATTTTTCTGATATTAATATTAATAGATAAATTTTAACATATTAATATTAATAGATAAATAAATAAATTCTGATATTAATATTTTATTCTATACCTGCTATCGGCAAATGTTTCGAACGGTTGCTCGGCTTTCTCGCTTCGGTCTTTGATGTCACTAGCTCCGTTGCTAGCGTTTTAACCTCATTTTCGAACCGGTAGAAATATTATTGCTTGAAAGAGGTACATCAAAGAACGATTTGGGACGAGCGTGGTACGTGTCCGGACGCATCATTCGAAGTGTTTGAAAGGAAATTGTTATAAAAGCGAGAGCAATTCGAACAATAATCCGTTCACGATGGTGAAGCTAACGCCGGAACTGATAGAGCAGTCGATGCAATACATCAATCCTGTGCGGGATCGCGAATTGGATCTCCGAGGTTTGTGAGAAATCGTTCATAAAATTTGACTCTATATATCCCGTATGTTCCATTAATTTTCATCAAATCTCATTGTTGTAGGATATAAAATACCCACCATTGAGAATCTGGGCGCGACTTTGGTAGGTGCACGTTTCGTCAAGAGGAAAACATCTATGCTTCTAGTCTACATGTGACTCTAAAAATACCAAACGGTCATTTTTTATTGTCTTTTTGAAATTAATATTCTTTTTTCTTATAGAGGATAGAAATTTAGAATTTCCTGACTTTAATATTCTATTCAGAATAAAAAGAACAATTGATAAAAAGTTTAAAGACTTCAAAATCATATCTTTAATATGAGAGAAAAATTATTAATTTAAAAAATAGAAATGATTAGAAATGATGGTTTGGTGTTTCTAATATTACATAAAGTCTACAGCTAATTATACTACATCATATTATATTATTTTTTATATAGGATCAATTTGACACGATAGATTTTTCGGATAATGACATACGTAAGCTGGATGGTTTTCCGCTCTTGAAAAGAATAAAGACTCTATTCTTCAATAACAATCGAATTGTCAGAATCGGCGAAGGTTTAGAATCCTGTATACCAAACTTGCAAACTCTGATGTTAACTGGCAACATGATACAAGAACTGGGTGATTTGGAGCCTCTGATACCATTGAAGAATCTTACGAACTTATGCCTACTCCAAAACCCAGTATCCGCTAAACCACAGTATAGGCAGTACGTCGTCTACAGATTTCCACAGCTTAGACTGCTTGATTTTCGGAAAATTAAACAGGCTGAACGTGAAGCAGCGACAGAATACTTCAGAAGCAAGCGTGGCAAAGAAATGGCGCGCGAAATAGCTAAAAAGGTGAAGGCACAGACGTCTGGTACATCTGTGGACAAGCCTCTGACTACTCCCGAAGAACGTAATAAAATTCGAGAGGCCATTACAAATGCATCCTCTTTGGAAGAAGTACAGAGGCTTAGTAAACTGCTACAAGCTGGTCATATACCTGGCGAGGAACGATTGCAGAATGGTACGTATGCTTTCTGCACATATGTATAATATTTTCCATTTGTAAAAAATCAATGTTATGAAATTGCTTCAACAATGGCAACAAACATGTTGTTTCATTATTAGTTAAGAATTGGATTTATATTATTCTCATTTTAAACTGTGCCAATAATGATATTAATTGCTATAAAATAGTGTTACACTTTTGTATTTGCTTTGTTTTGATAGCTACTATTTGCATAAGTAAAAAGTATTCGCCAAGTATTAGGCTGTTTTTAAATTTTTTATCAGATTCTATGGGATGTAGGAATGAAAACAATTATTAATATGAATTTTATTATATAATGAATATGTTTATCATTCTAGGTAGCGGAGCTGCAGAACCTATGGAAGAGGATGATGATTAAGTTTTAATTTAAATCCATAACAAAACTTCTTATTGTAAGTATGCAGCTTAATGGAATAGGAGTGATAATATAGATTGGGCTGATAAGAAGTTGTATACTACACAGAAATGATCTTTAGACTAAGGTTTACTCTAATCAGATATTACTTTTTTGTAAAATAAAATGATACTATGAGACTTGCCTTGAAGCGATTTTTGTAATTATTCCTCATTATTACATGAATATTATTTTAATATCTCAATATATTTATTTCAGCAAAAAAATAAAAGATTTCCTCAAAGAATTTGTCTTGTTGTCACTGAATCTTCCCTTATATCTGTTCTCTGTCTATATTGATCAATTTATCAATGAAAAATTAAAATTTTCAGCTACACTTTAGCGAGAATAAAATGATCATGTACTTGCAAGATTTTGTGAAAGATTTCTATGTAGCTTATGGTTTATAATTTAAAAAAGAAAATATATATTTTCAATTATCGATTAACTTAATAAATTTCGCATAGACATTTATTCGAAGTAAAGATGTGATGAGTGCAATTTAACTTTGTACGGTGCATAATGTTACATAAGTTGGATCAGTAGATGAGCAGATGTCAGCGCGATAGGACGGTGCTCCGTGTTCTTTCAGCTACTTGTCCCACTGGATAAGATTTGAAAAAAATAATGGGTAATTACGTCGCCTACTACATAACGCATCCCGACACGATGCCTGAACCTGATGGTAAACCGACGTTCGATCCGATGTTCGGATTTCCAAACGGTCGAAAACCCAGAGGTAAGTATTCGAATCTAACCTCGTACGCGTTTCGATCACACAATATTTTGTTATTATTGACCGAATTTGGAGCTTGAGCTTTATTGTTTGAACGCGAAACATATGCTACCACGGAGTTTTACTGTCAATCATCATTTCGGATCAATCAGATCTCGTTGATTTTTTGCTAACAGACATAATCATGGGATTACTGATGATTATATTATCTATTTAATTGCATATTATCATTACGCTATAGGCAGTTCTCTGTTATAGTTTGTTCTCACAATTAGACAGTCAAATTTGAGAGTAGATTTAATAAAATGTTTGATACAAATTTGATTAAAAGAAATTCTAACAGAGATTTAATAGAATACAATAGTAGATTCTTATAGAAACTGAACAGAATCAGCTGCTGATAATCTGTTGTTAGATTATATTGACATGCTCTGCTGGCAGAAGATATGTAGATATAATTAAGACTATATTGGCTGTACAAAATAAATGAAATAAATGAATAAATGAAAAGTTATCGTAATTAAAGAAGAGAATATATTTCTTATGTTTGCATTATTTAGAATATTAAATAAATAAATTTAGATTATGAAGAAGTTGAAATATAAACAAAATTTGATTTTCACTATATTTTTTTTATAAAAAAAATGTTTTTAATTGGTATGTTTTTTGACAAAATAATTAGATGACAAAATTTATGAATATTCTCTGCAATTAATTGTAAAAGACAAAAAGAAGTAATAATTTATAGGAAAATTTTGAATTACTATAGGCATCGAATAAAATAATCATTTTTATTCTTATTAAATGATTTATGTTATTATGAAGAGTATATTAATAATTCTAATGGTGTTATTTTTTTATGTGGTTGTAATAACATTTAATTATTCCAGATTGTTTTGATTAATTATTTTTTTATATGTGTTTTATTGTTAAGCATAATGTGGAAGATTTTGGAAGATTAGAACATGTTGCGTTTTTCATTATTTAAAAATTTGTTGGATAATATTTATGATTTAAATTTTATAAGTTTTATGTTCGATTGGATATCAGAATATATCTGTCATGTTCAAATTTTGCTTAGCATGTTGGATTTACAGAGATGAAGATATCGGAAGAGGATATGATAGCTTTGAAGGTCCCTCTGGACAAGCGTGATTATTGTGCTCATAAATATTTGGAATTACATGAGTGTAAAAGACGTCATTATCCTTTCATGTTGAAGTGCGCACACGAAAGACACGAGTACAATGCATGCCACTTTGAAGAGTAGGTATCTCATATTGTGTAAAACAAATGTCATAAATAAATCTTTAAGGTACTTTAATAAGAATATTATGTTTGTTACAGTTATACTCTAAGATTGAAGGAATATGAAAGAGAACGTCGTCTCCTTGAAAGACAAAAGAGGATAGCAGCAAGACAGGCTCAGGAACAAGCGACAGCGTGAAAATTTATAGAATTTCAATAAATTTGATTTAAATTTTGTCGTCGGTAACTTAGATGCATATATAAAGATGGAACTCTGTCCCGCTATTGTAAATAAGCTATATCAATAAAATGTATTTAACAATAAATTTTCTATTTTATAAAATGATAGATAAACGCAGTAATAATTCTTGATAATTTGCGCTTTAGATTTTAATAGAAAATGTCAAAATCTAACTGTTAGAAACCATTTCGGATTCTATTTAGAGAAATATATAAATATATGTATGTCATATATATGACACTATAGTTAATAATGTATTTGTCTATAAGCAAATATTAATTTTACATGAAGAAAACAAATTTTGCGAAGTCATCTTTTATGTGTCCAATGAACGTTTTATGTCCGATTCCACCAATATAAATTTACTTTAATCTCGATTTAATCTTGCTCTTCATCTTTCTTTAAATCTTAGAACTAGAAAAAGAATGAAGAGTAAGTTGAACCGAGATTAAAATTAATCTACTAGTTGGTGGAACGTATCCGGCATTAATGTTTCACACTGGACGACGTGATTAACTTAACGGGCGCAGATCTAAAATGGTTATGGTTTACTATTGTAATATATTTTAATCAATATTTTATTCATCATTACAAAATGGGAGATACACAATATGTACAAGACGGTGCACGCGACCGGCGTACGCGAGAGCCGTAACCCTAAGATTGGAGGTAAGATTAGCGTCTCTCGCGCCGAGAGACTTAATAACTTATAACTCGCCCTATCGTACAACTTTGAACCTCGAGAGTCTCGTCGCGGCCGCACCTCGGCCGTCGTCCAGCATTGCGTCCGCGGCGTTCGCGGTACCGCTTCGTGCGCTCGCGCGCTCCTCATGGCTGCGCAGCTTCATCGAGGGAATCGATAAACGGGAAGCGCCGTACGGACGTGCAACTCCGCGGGTCCTCTCCGACGGCGTCGGACCGTGCGTCCGCGCCGGTTCTATCGCCTTCTCCGTGACATTTCGTCATCTCACGTTTCGCTATATAATCCCGTGGAAGTAGAATAAGTGGTGAAACGT